CAGCATCACGCTATAGTGACTGGGAAACCTGTGGAACCTCAGACTTCCCGTTTCACCGAAGCACCTTACTACTGAATTAGCGAAGTGACCGGACGCTTCACACGTGCTCCAGTTTCAATGAAGCCCGCTCTGTGGTACTCACGATAGCATGCGTAACTAAAATGTTATTAATACGCAAGTGTGGAAGAAGGCGGGGACTTTTCATCCAAGCTAATAATTCATTCGCCTCTGTTATAAGTTCAACAGTCAAACGTAGTCATGTAAACATCCTAGAGGACGAATAAGCTTTCAGAATGCTCGATATCATCCAGTGCCTTTCCGTGACAGCACCAAAAGATTCTTCGTCTGTAATAGGAAGCTTCAAGGTGAGCTTATATAATTTCATGGAACACTGGGCTGATTGGAACATTTTTCTCTGTGAGTCAGATAGAGTCAGTTAGATTATTCCGTTAAACAGAGGTATTACCTATCCATCGATTGGGAGATACTTACCTTGGCGGTGGCGCTAGTCTACCGATAAGACCTGCCCCATTAGCCAACACAGCACAGCATTTTCAGGCGAAGGCTATTTTATGAGTCGTTCCTACAGGAAGTCATTAGCACGAAATGTTGGTTTTCGCCCAGCACTGTCTCGGCTTCTCGTAACTTGCTGGTTCCTAATCGAGTAAAGTGTGGTGACCAACAACTGCCATAAAAAATATTAAAAAATTGATGAGTTGAAGAATCTCTAGCGCCTTAATAACCACACAACGGACAAACACCAGGCAGCAACAGATAGAACGTCATACGCTTGACTTAAGTCACCTTAAGACTTATCCAGGAACCCAGGTTACACAATACTGTCAGTGCTCACGTTTACTGCGACGATCCAAGCGGAGTCGCTCTATTCCTTTTCTTCTGCCGATGGTAAGACTTCTGCCTACCTTAGACAATCAATCCATAGACGACGGCTGTAAGAGAGCTTAAATTGCGCAAGCTTACAATATTCGACCGACTCATCAATGGGCGCAGAGGATTGAAAGTGTCACTGTTTCGCTGAAGTAGCATATCAAACACCGCTGCTGAGCTGAGCGAAGATCTTCGTGCGTTCTGTAACAGCTCCACAGCACGGGTGCCCTGCTCTTTCCCCCTTCTTTGAGAGGCAAGAGCGTTGAATGGTAGCGGCGCATGCTGCAAGTCATCCCAGTAGCATGGGAGAGCCATGACTAGTGGTACAGCGAGTGTGTTTAGCCGTGGATCGGCACATATGACAAAGTCTGACAAAGTCGGTATGGCCTCTCCGCCTCAGTGCGAGCCTTTCTCTCCAGCCTTTTCTGTTGACGTAGTAACATCGTTATAAGGCGCTATATGAAATCGACATTGGGTTTGAGAGTGAGCTGCAAAAAATGAAAGGAGGACATTGCGATAAAGTGTAATTCTTATCGACTGTAACTCTTTTCCACTACTTTCAGGATCTTGCCACGAAAGAAGGAAGTGAAGAAAAAGTTCTTAAGAAAGCGATCGACCGCTGCGTGGCAGCAATTTTCAAAAACGCAGATGATCATGTTACTTCAGTCAGTAATCTCTCTAGTCAAAGGCGTGCATACATACGCAGCGAGGGGCAATTTCTACCTGAATATGTGAAAATAGTTTGTACATATTTACCATTTGCTGTTCTCGCCAGTCTTGCGCATGGCCCTGCTGGCTAGGCTCAGTATGCCGTGACTCCGCTGTTGTGGAACCCAGGCTTCAGCCAAGCAAAGAAAAGGAGACTGTCCGCAATTGGTCTGCTACCTTGTACGATTGAGGCATCTTCTGACTGACAATGTCCAAAGGTACACTTCCTCTGAACTCCAAAGGGAACGACTATCAGCTGGGCTGGTTAGGTCAATGTGCATCTCTGGCTGAGCAAGAACGAAACCTTGCCCTAACTACTGCACTACCACTCCACGAAGGTCCAGATACATTCTTTACCCGAATGAGAGAGTGAAGCACGCAGTTATTCGGAGCCAGTGGAAACCTCTACAGTCACTTGGTCTTCTTCAACGGCATCGGGGAACTCCTCTCTCGGTCTCCAAAAAGACTGACATTTCACGTTTCGTGAAGTTGGCGAAACTTTTGAACTGGTAATCGGTTCGCAGAAGAAGGGAGGTGATTGGGACATTATCGTTGTGTGAGAGAATCTCAAGCACTCAAGGATTGCCTAGGGATTGCCAGCTTGCACCTGCATGCACTTTACTACTTACACATGGCTCTATCCCAATTCGAGATATTACTAGCGTAGATGAGGTTGGGTGAATCAGTTAAACTGAACTGGCTTACATAAAACAAATCAATTTTACTGAATATTCAAACAGTCAATCGATTGTGCCTCAGTTAGGGATAATGATTGCTAAATTATTACCAGTATTTTACTTTCTGTGATTAACCAGTAACAATAAGTTGAATACAGGGTGTTACATAAATATTGGTTAACGGTTTTGCCGGTGATAATAACAACGGTTTTTGCCGAGTAACTTCTCTTGATGTCGAACTATCCAAAGTTCAATTGACTATAGTCAGTATTTGCTCAAACAATTACATACTGCAAACAACGACATTCGTTTCGAAATGCCTTCCTGCCGCCCTGAGTACTGCTCTGGAAC